TTTCTAACTCTCTATCCCTCTCCCTTCCTCTCTGTAAAAAATCAATAAAATATTTTTTTTTTAAAAAGAGGATGCTTGGAGGACACCAGAGGAGGAGTGTCTATGGGGAGGTGCTGTGAACACAGGGGGTTTGAGGTGCTTGTATACCATTCCTGAGGAGAGTCACTCATGCACCCCTTCTGTCTGTGAATAGTTTTTTACTTTTTTGAATTTTATTGATTTTTTACAGAGAGGAAGGGAGAGGGATAGAGAGCTAGAAACATCGATGAGAGAGAAACATCGATCAGCTGCCTCCTGCACACTCCCTACTGGGGATGTGCCTGCAACCAAGGTACATGCCCTTGACCGGAATCGAACCTGGGACCCTTCAGTCCATAGGCTGACGCTCTATCCACTGAGCCAAAAAGGTTAGGAATTATACTGCCAGGCACTTGTACTGGGCATATGGCAAAGAACAAAACAGACAAAATTCCCTGCCTTCATGGAGCCTGTAATCCATCATTGGGAGGGCGGACAATAAGCCAGTAGTAAAATGGGGAGCATGTTGGATAGTGGCGATTGCTGAGAATTAATATATGCGTGTTGGGGTTAGGGGCTGCTGACTAAGAGTCTGAGGGAAGTGAAGGCGCGAGCCATGTGGATATCTGGGAGTAGTGTTCCAGGTGGAGGGAACAGCATGTCAGGTGGAGGGAACAGCAAGTATAAAGGCTCAGAGGCAGGAGAACGTCTGGCGAGGAGGCCAGTGGATCACGTGAGGTTTTGTAGGCCAGTGTAGGACTTTTGTTGTTACTCTGAGAGAGACAGGGAGGCCTCGGTGTGGAGTCCCACAGGAAGTGTGGAAAGGAGGAGGGATCCGGTTGGTGGGCCTGCACCTCCCATGCACCCAGGCCTCTTCCCGTATAGGAATGAGTCCTAGGGTGCGTTTCCTCCCCTGGAACCGTGTTAACCCAGAGGATCCTCTCCCAGGCTCTGCCCCAGACATTCCAGTTTCTCTTGGCCCCTTATTCTCGTCCCGTGGCTGGTCCCTCCAGCTCTTGGCCCTGACTTCCTCCACCAGTTTTCTATCTCCTTCCGACTCCGATCCCTCTGCCAAATCCACATGATCTAGGAGCTGCAGACATTCCCGCAGCACCTACTTAATCCATTAAAATGCTTTTGACTGCAAGTATCAGAAACACCCATTTATAGCCTCTTAAACAGCAAACACCACTGTCACAGATGCAATGACATGGTGGAGAGGGAGAGAAGGCATGCGGAATCTGTATACAACTCCATACTTTTTAAAAATTAAATAAACCCAGCTTTCTTTTTAAAGCACATACTTCTCAAGGACTTTGCTCTGCCTCATGTTCTAAAAGTGGCTTCGGTTTCCTCCAAGAATCTGCTGAGGAATTTCCCTCCTTGACTCACCACTGCAGTTCAATGTGCCACCCTCAGTTTCCGGAAGCCTCCTCTTTTATCATAAAGAGATTTCAGAGCTGGCAACCTGCTGGACAAGGGAGAGATGCCCCCCCCCTCCTCAGATGAGTCAACACTTACGATTTCTGTATTCTGGCGTAATCTCAGTAGTTAGAGTAACCGAGCACTCGGGGGCTAGCAGACCAACCTTGCCTGTGAGCTGCACAACTTGATCTGCACTCAGTGACATCTGTTACCTCAACTCACCAGCTTCCTGGGGTCGCCAAAATAGTCTTTCAAGAGCTCCAGCACCTGTGGTTGAAAAACATAAGCTTTGAAGCCAGAGAGCCCTTCATCTCAAATCCCTGCTCTGCCATTTACTAGCTGTGTGATTTTGAGCAAGTCACTGAACCTCTCTGAGCCATGATTTCCTCATTTGAAACATGGGAATAGTAATATATCCACCGGAAAGGTGTTGTAAGAATTAAAGGTTAGGGGAGGGTGGGGGTAAGGGGGAGAGATCAACCAAAGGACTTGTATGCATGCATATAAGCATAACCAAAGGACACAGACACCAGGGGGGTGAGGGCATGAGTGGGGTGGGGGTGGGGTGGCAATGGGGGGATAAGGACACATATGTAATACCTTAATTAATAAAGAAGAAAAAAAGAATTAAAGGAGAGTATGTGCCTAGATGGTCAGTATAGAGCTGGGTACAAATGAAGCTTTCAATAAACGGTAGCCACGGTAGTCGTAGCATTTGGCCCCTGCAAACATCTCCCTATATGGGCACACCCTTCTGGCCACAGGGAATATATTTGTAAGGATTTTTAGTTGCAAGACACTGAACCTCATTTCAAAGCAGTTTAAAGAAAAAAGGGGGGATTTATTGGCTCAGCTATCCGGCTGACCCAGGTAGGAACTGACCTCAGGGACTCTGAGCTGGGATCTTTCTGGTCTCCTCCCCTCGCCACCCCTCCTGTTCTCTCCCCTGGGACTAGATGGCCTTCCTTCATGGATGGGGGGAGTGGGGGAGTTTGTCCTGTGGCCAACGACCATTCTAGGCTTATATTGTCTCATAAAGTTAGCTAAATGCATGTCATCTAAAATCATAAATGGATAAAAAGCACATGAAACCAACCTCAGAAGAATCCTAAGTAAATTACTTACTGTTTGGGCTCGATTCTTTCCCAAGTGCGAGAGGGCAAGAGGACAAGGGTCACTGCCCAGGCGCTCCGAGCTAGCTCCGGGTATCCAGCCTCTATAGCCTCCATCCTGGGAAAAGAAAAGGGACATTGTAGCTGGTTGTTTACACTGAGTTAAGCACCTGAATCAAAGCCCCGTTGAAGTTCCTCCTCGATCACTTCATCACTTCCGACGAGTTCTCACCACACTCTGGCTCATGAGGACACCCTGGGGTGCTGTGACATCCGCCTGTTCTGTTCGCTTCCCGCAGGCTCTCTGTCACATTGCTAATTCCTAAAAGGTATTATTATTCCCTGTGTGCTGACTGCTGCCTCCAGTCACACCTCAAGCTCAGAAGTTCCTTGGAAGGACCTTAATTAAGAAGAATCAACTTAATTTAAAATAAACTTTGAGTTTTCAAGACAAATTGTTATTTATAACAAATTAACTTTTTTTCTCCTAACATGAAGGGAGTCAGTTTCCAGCTCCTGGGGTGATTGGCAAAATGCCACAAATAAATGAATGAACATATAAATGTGACAAAATTTGATTTTAGATTTACAGACTAAAATGAATTTTATAATGTAAAATTCTTTTCTAATGGTTAACGTCATTTTTTCATCAAAACTGCTCATCTATCCCATGCTTTTCTTAATGCCCACTGCTTCTTCTTCCTTTTAAAAAAATTATTTATTGAATTTTAGAGAGGATTCTATTTTAAACAAAACTTTGTTCTTAATCCACAGGTCACAGTTTTTATCCACATGAACATACATGGCTTTGTTACGAAAAAGTAAGTTTAAAAGTTTGCAAATATTATTTTTTGATCTAAATAAAGATTCGTGTTCCCATCTAATTTAGCATCTGTAATTTCGTATTCTTATTCTTAAAGAGTTATTTCAAATTATATAATCTCAGACTCCATCAAAACCTGGGTTTGCCCCTGATTTTAGATGCAGTCGTTTGTGAATCTGGGAGGAAACATAGTGACCTAATTGTGCTACTGTTACCCTCAGGGTAGATTGCCTGATGTAGCAGATGAAAAGTCAAGCTATCCAGTTAGATTTGACTTTCAAGTAAACTATGAATAATGTTTTAGTATAACTATATCCCAAATATGTCATGAGACATACTTCTTTTTTTAAAGTATTTTCTCTGTTAACCTGGCATCAGCAGTAGCAGCCATGGTTGAAAGGGTCAGACGGTAGTGACATGGGCCACTTCCCCAAACTGGCTGTGGCAGGTCAATGTTAATCAGAGGTACTGATAACCTGTAGAACTTTGACCCTTATCTTCTGCTTCTCTATAGTTTTGTTTTAAACCAAGTAGTATCTGGTTGTCTCTGGCTGAATCTGACAACCCAGAGGCAGAGAGGAGCTGCGTGTCAGCAAGGTAGGACCACTGAGCCTCCTAACGTAGCTCTGGAAGGCATCGGTGGCTACTGTTCAACTCCTTCCTCCTATGGATTTTACAAATGTGAAGAGAAAAGCCTAGGGGCCATAAAATAGATTAGTACGAGGCCAATATAAGTAAATATTCTGATGCACAACAATTGTAAAACCTTTATTGGGATTGCATTGCCTTTTTAACTCTCAAAATACCCCATGTGACGTAATGGTTATTATTACAATTCCCATGTAGCAGATGAGCAAACTGAGGCTCAGAGAGGTTAAGTAACCTGTCCAAGGCCACACAGCTAGGAAGTAATAGAAATGAGATTTGAGTCTGACTTCAAATCCCAGACCTTTCCCCTTCTACCAACATTTTCCAAACTGCCGCATTTGTGCCCCACGTACGGCGATGTCGTATCTTCTCAGTTTTTAGCATCTGTGTTTCTTCTGTCCAATGCATGACTATTTTCTTTAAATGGACTCATTTTAAAAATCCTAAGTGTACTTCATAATAGAAAGTTTATATCTGTACTGTAACTAGAACACCAGTTATCTCCTATCATAAAAATAAGGAAATTATACAACTGTATGTGGTTAGAACAATATTTAATTCTGGGTAGTTTTTGTTATCTTCCTGCATATGAAATTGGGACTGATTTCTCACGCTATGATTTAATGTGACTTAATGCTATGAGCACAAACCTCCCCCATCATCTCTGGTACAGCCAGTGGTACATGCTTCCTACTATGACAACACTGTTCTGCATCACCCCACTTCTCAGGAGATCCCAGGGGCCAGGGCCACTGTTCTGAAACAGATGCTCCTGGAGGCTCAGAAGTGGAAGACATGTAGGTGGGTCTTCTAACCTCTTACCCAAGGCAAACATTTTCTTTCTTTCTTTCTTTTTTTTTTTTATCCTCACCCGAGGATATTTTTCCATTGATTTTTTTAGAGAGAGTGAAAGACAGAGAGAAATATCGCTGTGAGAGAAACATAGATTGGTTGCCTCCAGCACACGCCCCAACCAGGGATCCAGACCCGGGGAGGAGCCTGCAACCGAGGTACGTGCCCTTGACCGGAATCAAACCTGGAACCCTTCAGTCCTCAGGTTGACGCTGTATCCACTGAACCAGACTAGCTAGGACGAGGTAAAACATTTTCTGTGTGTTATCCTTGACCGGTGACTGAATTATCTGAGAAGTAGCTGGGTTCTAGTGGCTAAGAACATAAAATAAGTGCTGGCTCATCACCAGTGTTATGTAAACGTTGGCTATTATTCTAAACAAAGTTCGTGCACAGAAAAGGCAGCATCCTATAGTCATTAAGGTTGTAGCCTCTGCCATCCAGCTCCCTGGGGTTATCCCTGGATCCTCCTTAAACTGCTTGTGCGTATCCTTGAGTATCAACAGTGTTGCAGGTTAAGTCTTTCCTGCGCATGCCATCTGCTTAAAGAAGGGTCCGGGCCACCACTCCTGTGTATGTCAGGGAAGGCAACTCCTTACACGGCTGCTCTGAACTTTTCCACAACTCCAGCTCGATAGGTTGAACTTGTTTCTTTTTTTAATTTCAGTTAATCAGGTGCTGCTGTTCCTTCTGATTGTGACCCTCTGTGGGATTCTGTATAAGAAAGTTCACAAGGGGACTGTGCTCAGGAATGACGCAGGTAAGCTAGGTGATATTAGCCAGGCACCAAAAGACAAGTAGTGTGTGATTCCTCTTATGTGAGGTACTTAGTCCGTCAAAATCCTAAGACAGAAAGTAGAATGGTGGTTGCCAGGGCCTGAGGGGAGGGGAAGATGGGGGAGTTATTGTTTAATGGGTAGAGTGTCAACTTTACAAGATGAAAAGAGTTATGGGGATGGGTGGTAGAGATGGTCGGACAAAGGGGTAAATGTATTTAATACCATTGAACTGTACACTTAAAAATGGTTAAGATGGTAAATTTTATGTTGTGTATTTTACCACAATTCAAAAAATATACCCCCTATAATATGGATAAACCTCACAAACATTATGCTAAATGGAAGAAGCCAGATTCCTTCTATCTTAGGGTTTTGGTGTCCTCAATAGGTACCTTCCACCTGTGGTCTAAGGTGGCTGCTATCATAGCAACATTCCAGCCAAGGGGAAGTGAAAAGGAAAGGGGGGGCGGGTGAGCAAGTTTCTTATAAAAGCAAACCCAGTAGTTGTACACATCACTTGAACTAACATCCCACTGGTCAGAACTTGACGACATAGAGCTGCAAGGGAGTCTGGAAAACATTCTTAGCGGTTGGCCATGTGCCAGCGAAAATTCCAACGTTATAAGGGAAGAAGAAAGACTGGACATTGATGAACAATCCACAGCCTCTTCCACACTCTGCTTTCTTCCCTCGGGGGTGTGGAAGACAAGTTTAACGGACTCGACTGTGAAAGTCCTTCATGTTCCAAGACACTGATTTTGGTTTCCAGGTGAGGACTCTGGGACTCCCGAGGAACTGGACGCTGAGATCCCCGTGGTGATCTGCGCAGCAGCAGGGAGGATGGGGGCTGCGATGGCCGCCATCAATAGCATCTACAGCAACACGGATGCCAACATTTTGTTCTATGTAGTTGGGCTCCGGAACACTCTGTCTCGAATACGGTAAGTCGTATACCATAGATGTTGGAGTTTCCTACTTTCTTTTGATCTTCCTTGTTTTTCCTTAAATGGATTTCCTTTTTTTTTTTTTCTTTTGAGAAATGTCATTTGAATTCAGAAGGGGATGACCTGAGGTTTATTTGGTGACTTGATAAATGTGTTGCCTCACTAAGGAATTTCTAGCAGAGCCTCACTAATCTGGTAGGGCTGTGTGTCATGGTGCAGAATTGAATTATCTAATGAACTAAAGAACCCCAATCCTTAAGCAGTTTATATGAAATTCATTCTTTCTAAAATGGTTTCTCTTTTCTTTACTTTCTTAACCTGAAAGAATATTAGTAATATAATCATTTTAATATGGCTCAGAATCATCACTAATTATAATTTTTGAACTGCAAAGTATTATCTTTCATGTCCCTCACCACACTAAGAAATAAATTGGAGTTGGATTGAAAAGAAATATAGAGAAAATCACATTTTAAATGTATTATAAAAATGTAGAATAGCCCTAGCTGGTTTGGCTCAGTGGGTAGAGCATTAGCCCTCAGACTGAAGGGTCCTGGGTTCAATTCTGGTCAATGGCATGTTCCTTAGTTGCAGGCTCGATCCCTGGCCCCAGTTGAGGCATGTGCGGGAGGCAACCAATCGATGTGTGTCTCTCTCATATCGATGTTCCTCTCTCTGTCTCCCCACTCCCTACCACTCTTTCTAAAAATCAATAGAACAATATCCTCAGGTAAGGATTAACAAAACAAAAAGAAAAAAGACCAGAAAGATCTCCACTGTTAATAGTGACCATCTCTGGGGAGAATGGAATATTTGGGAAAAGCAGTGATGAAGGGAATTTCAAGGTATCTCAAGTGTTATTCCCATCAGTTACAAGGTCTCCCCCCTCCCTACCACTCTCTCTAAAAATCAATAGAACAATATCCTCAGGTAAGGATTAACAAAACAAAAAGAAAAAAGACCAGAAAGATCTCCACTGTTAATAGTGACCATCTCTGGGGAGAATGGAATATTTGGGAAAAGCAGTGATGAAGGGAATTTCAAGGTATCTCAAGTGTTATTCCCATCAGTTACAAGAAGAATGTATTTACAGATGGTTTTTATAACCATATTTGTGGTTAGTATCGCCATTAGGAGATACTGAGATATGTAAGACATTTGCTCCTAATCTAAATGGTCCTTGGTTGCTGTGGGTTTTGGGGGCTTATATGTGCTTTCTGGGTTTTTTTGCTTGTTTGTTTTTTGTTTGTTTGTTTTTGTCTCATTTGTCACTCTTCTTATAATTTACTGTTGCAATATGGACTCACTTAGTCTGCCCCTCAGTTATCTGTGGGTATAGATAACAAACCCAAAGGATGGCTTGTGTGATATGTTCTGAATAAGGGTCTGTACTTGAACAGTAGTTATGAGCTTCAGGATTGTATGACATTTGAGCAGGGAATGATTCCCAGTTCACCACCCCTTATTTTAAAAACTCTTTTCACTGAAGTATAACACAAATACAGGAAATTGTATAAATCCCATGTACAGCTTAGTGAATCATCACAAATGTGTAATAGACACACCCTTTAACATCCACCACACCAACACTTGGTGCAGTCAGTCTTTTTAACTTTGCCATTCTGAGGAGTGCCAGCATGTCTCATTGTGGGGTTCCCATATTTCTAATGAGGTTGAGCACTTTTTCACACATTTCTTGGCTGTTTGGATATGCATGCCTGAGTCTTTTGCCAATTTTTCAGTTGGGCTGACTTCTTATTGGTATGGCTGCCTCCCACCCGCAGCTTTATTGAGAAATTATTGATATAATACATTGTGTAAATGGCTACTTTTTATGGTTCTTCAAATTGAAAATTTTTTGGGAAGATTTAATTCCTTTGTCAATTTAAAAAATATATTTTTTATTGATTTCAGAAAGGAAGGGAGAGGGAGGAAGAGATAGAATCATCAGTGATAAGAGAGAATCATTGATTTGCTGCACACCCCACACTCACAGCCTGTGAGTAGGGGATTGAGCCTGCAACCTGGGCATGTGCCCTGACTGGGAATTGAATCTCGACCTTCTGGTTCATAGGTTGAAGATCAACCACTGAACCATGCTGGCCAGGACCTTTGTCAATTTTTAATCAACAAGAAATACTACTGTGTGGCTTACGTGTTGGAAATTTTATTTTGAGATGATTTCTTACAAGAAAACTCTTATGAGTTAGATCAGTGGTCAGCAAACTGCGGCTTGTGAGCCAGATGCGGCTCTTTGGCCCCTTGCGTGTGGCTCTTCCACAAAATACCACGTGCAGGCGCGCACGTACAGTGCGATTAAAACTTCGTGGCCCATGTGCAGAGTCGGTATTTTGTGGAAGAGCCACACTCAAGGGGCCAAAGAGCCGCATGTGGCTTATGAGCCACAGTTTGCCGACCACTGAGTTAGATTAAAAGATAGATGTTCTGGCCCGGCCTGGCTGGCGTGGCTCAGTGGTTGAGCATTGACCTAGGTCGGAGCTAGGAGGTCACAATTTGATTCCCGGTCAGGCCATATGCCTGGGTTGCAGGCCAATCCCCAGTGTGGGGCGTGCAGGAGGCAGCTGATCAATGA